TTTTTTTTTTTTTTTCGCCGGTGACTAGTTCATCAGCGGTAGGTGAACATTACTTGTGGCTCAGATGAGGTGGTATGTGGGCCACTGCTGTCTGGCGGCTTTAAGTTAGTACTCTTCCGTGATTACCCAAACCGATTAGTAAGGTAAGAAAGACTTTCCATTACCATTTGGTCAGGTATGTACGACTTCAGATGACAGGCCCGAGCCAGAAACCTAGCAAAGTGAAACCGGAAGCAAGTCATGACTTTCAGGCCAAGAGACAGGCCAAAGGTACTCTGCATGTGCGAGATCTTACTTTGTCGGGTGCTATGGCTTTGAGGCTTCGTGGCCAAGCTGCTACCACCCTCTGCCTAATACTCGGCCAGGTGCGTCAGGGCTGCTGTTAGAAGTGTTGATGGCTAATGTTGTATGGCTGGGTACCAAACCCAACTCATTCCTGCAAAACAAGTGTCATGCGTTTATTGCCAGGCATTAAGAAAAGGCGCACTCGCCATGGCTGAGCACCCTGAGGCGTTCTTGCTTACGCCTAGCTGTGTTGCATTTGCTGACGCATGTCTTGATATCAGCCCCCCATAGCCCCCCTCAATTCCATGAGGAAGCTCAAGACGAACTCCTTCGACACCTGGAGGCTCAAGATGAGTGGAAGTTGTGCCACGGCAATCCTCGATGTTACACCAGAGAGCATCATGGTGTGGAAGGTGCTCCTTAGAAGCCCGCATGAGGACACTCGCGCCAGGATATGTGAGGCCAGCGAAGTTGAAGCATGGAGTGATGTCTGGTGATCTAGGACAGCAAGCACAGAGCAGTGACAGCACCCGGGATGCGCAGAATGCCAAAGGGCACTTGCTTTCAGCAGCTCAGGGAGGCTAAGAAGAGACATGAAGAACTCCTGAAGAACTGAACAAAAAAGCGGCACTCCAACCGCGGGCTCCTTGTGCAACCGCACCTCGTGTCAGCCAAACGATGTCTGTTTTGCTTACCTGCGTGTGCCAGCACAGGTCCCCAGAACTGGATTCTCAGTGTGTGGCCCGCATGTTCACGCGGCCAGTCTGTGTTTTGTCTTTGCTGTTGACTACCTGTACGTACAGGCAGCGCCCACTAATTAGTTCGATTGCAGCACTCGCGACCATAGAAGTCAGTGTTAGGAGGATTCGAAGATGTAACATTTCATTAGGTACGCTGCTCTCGTAAAGCTTGAAAACGTGAACTCCTTGCATGCGCAAGCAGATGGATTTTCAAGGAATACGGAAATCTGAGCAAATCAAGGCCGATGTTGGCGGCTTGAGCTAAGAAACCTGATTTACACTGCTGCCCAGGGACTTCTGAGCATCTTGCAGACCTCAGGGCAGGAACTTCACCAGACAGCAGTGGGACCAAGTTGCATTCGACACCATGAAAATAGGTGGTGAATTGCTGCTGATCAATCTCCGCTGCCTAGCTGCCAAGGCTTGGGGAACAATGCCTGTTTCTCAGAATTGCGAGGCTTTGTTCCATCTTTTCTCAACACGGGAAGCGACCTTTCTGAAGCACCCTGCCATGCCATGCCGCATTGTGTGTTGTTGGTATGAGCTTCGACGGCTGGATGCGCGGAGATGCCGATCTGCTGCAATGCAGAGGCTTGTATTCAAGTAGAGCACGGATTTCAGAGATGGTTCGACATGGCCAGGTGCAGTTCTGCTGGCTCAAATCTAGGGTGGAACATGAAACTCGATCAAATCTTCAGAAGACGTGGTCTTTGTTGCTTGCGGCAGCTGAGGGCTGCACTCCAAGTTACAGAAGGTGCATATGACTGTGTGGACCTGATGCATCGTCATGAGCCGCATATGGCCTGTGCCCATGGGGTGACCAGGAGCGACAAAGTTGTGGTCCCACCGCTGCTTTCCACTGAAGTGACCTGTCAGGAAGTTGTGGACGATGGGAACTCAGAGACGTTCATGGGCTTGGATGGACCTGGCATCGAGGTCCTGACCTGCAGACTTCTGCATGCCGATTACATTATCTCATCTGGTGTCCGCTGTCTTGACACCTCGAATCTCGAGTCTTGCTGCTTGGGGAAGTAAATTTGAACACAGGCCAAACGTAAAGCACGGGCCCATCGACCTTTTCAAGAGGTGTGGGCTTGAATTCAACTTCCAGAAAACAATGGTCCTTCCGATTCGTGAGTCTGTCCGTAGGGATTCCAAGGATGTGGATTTTCGTGGCCCTCATGCCTAATGCAAATGGACGAGCGGCATCAAATTCATCGGGAACACCTTAAAACGCTGACATTTGCTCGGAAGACGCCATTGATATTCATGATTGAGTAGTCAGCTTTGGCAGGCAAAAGCAAAGTATCAGGCGGTCGAGTCACTACAGAATACTACAGTGGTTTCTTCCCATCCAAGGCTCTCACTTCAGGGCCTAGGTCATTCCAAATGGGCATGGGCGGCCCTACGCATTTTAGACGCCAGGGGTGCATGGATTGCATCGTTAGAGCTGAACGTTCCTTCAATGCTCCATAAACAGTTGCCGTGCGTTTTGTAGGCTGCAGTGTCGTTTGCGAGCTGGCGGACACGTGTTTGGCAGATCGTTGTTGTTGTCCAGCGCGCCGTGCACTCCATGACATGCAGACCACTGGATGCTTGAAGTCGCACACATCTTTGGCTTCAGAGCACACCAGCGTCGGAGTGTTGCCATGCCTTGTAGCGAGTATATATGGTCGTCAGATGGTCGGAGTCGCCCATTGATTGATAAATCCAAGCACGGGCTAAGTTCGTACCTGCATTTGGCTGGATCCCGTCGAGGGACTCCAGCATCTCAGCCTAGATTATATCTTTTACCGCATAGCTCAATATCCGACATCCCATCTTCTCTCACCGCAAGATGGCTGGACACGGTCGGCTCGAAGCGTAGCCTGAAATCACTTGACTTTGCCAGGCTCTCAGACATGAGTTCTGCGAGACCGGCCCTTCGGGTGGCAAGCTCAGAGCCGAGCAACTCAAAAAGTGGACAACCATTTTCACGGCTTTAGGGAGGGAAACCTTGAAGGTTACCCACGCTGCATGAGTTGGGGGCCAACCCAATTCATGAATGGTGGCCAGTGGCCTCAGCCGGTTGAAGAAGATGTGCCTTGGCTTCTGTAAATTGGGAGTTTGTGGATAGGTTTGGCTCCAGTCGGAAAACTCTGTGTCACCTGGAAGGGTCTCTGTGGCAGTGCTAATAAGGAAGACATGGAGCATTTGGGTTTAGGGATCTCTCAGGTGCAGGAAGTCTTCACCACCCTTTGATGACAACGGGCATGGAAAAAACAACGCTCCACACCCTTCTTAATCTTGTAATCGCTGCTCCGGGTACTGAATTGGTTAGTGCAAGGGTTTGCATTGCCTGCCCTGGCTGGGCAGCCATGTCGCTTTGTAGACAGCAGTGCCATACAAATGGTTCAGGTTTTCCTCCAAGTGTCTCAGTGTCGTCAAGGTAGCATGGAGAGAGCTCAGGACCGTGGTCCCGCGGACGTTTTTCACAGGGCCCGAGGCAGATGCGAAGCTAAGGTTGCCGCGCAGGCCAGACTGCAGCGGCTGCGTGCCAAGACAGTTTGGCCGGGTTTGGCAGGGTGGCGATTACCTCAGTATGGGAAGCCCGTAGGTCCCAAAGAAGCCTGCCTGGCCTTCGCCAGCAGCCGTAGAGAAGGGCGACGGCCTGGCTTCCAAGAGTTGCAGTTTTGATCAAGGTTGCCACAGCATTGGCCTGCATGGTTCTTCTGCTTTGAGGCATGAAGCGAGGAAATTTTGCGTCGCACTGGGCAAGCAGGAGAAAGCTGATTGAAGGCGAAGCTCCTGGGCAGCAATATTCTTTTCATCGCCTGGCTATTCAGAGAAGAAACAGGATTGGCCATCGTTGTACCTGCAGCACTGTCCAGGACGTTCATGTTGCACGGTGTTTCGCCATCTCGGCTCAGTGTCGATCGATGTCGTGCAATGTGGGTGTCGGGCAGTCTCCCAGTTGGCCTGCTGGTGATCGTGATCGACACGGCAAACGGCAGGACTGATAGCTTTTTGAAAGCAGTTCAAACTGACGAAGTCGTGGCATATCCGCTGAGTCAAGTTGCACGTAAACATTTAATTAAGACATCGAAGTGCACTTTGTGAGCAGGCTCGGCTCACCGGATCTTCATCTGCGTGGGTTACTGCTGAGCCCCTCACAGCCACTGTTTGCCAACAGTTCGGCGCCTTTGTGGCAAGTGCCGGCTTGCGAGTTTGCATAGAGCATTTTTCCAGCAGGTTACTCCATGCATCTCCATGCAATCTTTGCATTGTGCCAGGCAGGTTGTGGGGAAGGTAAGCGCTTTGAAGTGGCGGCGGTAGTAATCCATGGCTGTCGCGTTGTTCAGCGCATGCAGATGTGTTACAGTGCTGTTCGAGGCTGCTTGACTTGTGCTTGTGAGGCACGCATCGCTGCGAGTCACGCTTGTGGTCCAGACGCACTTCCAGGGTCTGTATATCCAGTCACGGAAGGATATGAAATCCACAAAGCTACCTCGAAAGACTGGCACTGGTCCGAGACATGTCTGCAGCACCAGCTTCAGGGAGGCGAAGTACCCCATCCCATTGACGACATTGGACGCCTTTGTAAAGAAGAATCCACGAGCCGTTGAGGGGTGTGTCGGAGTTTGTGCCCTGCTACCCACGACACGTGCAAACGGTCGGCAACGACAGAATTCCGCGTGTCCTCTGAATGTCTAGTTTCCGTGGCCCCAAGGCCTCAAGGGCTTCTGTAAGGCAGTGTTTCTAACCCACCATAGTGACTAGACTAGGTTTGCAGGGACAGAAAAGTTGGCATTCTAGACGGAAACACTTGGATCATACTTGAGGACAAGAAGGTGCAACTTTGCAGTGCCGTCGCCTGCAGCCAGGTCTTGTGACCAACTTCAAATTTCTCACGGGCAGACAGAGCAAACCAGATTGTCAGAATGAGGGTTTTGTGCAAGCTTTCGGGTCCCTGCGTTTCTGCAGCTTGGTTGCTTTGTGAGGGCTATCTGTCGCTTGGGCCAGGGTTCCTACTCAGCCGGGCGCACCGGGCGGTGGGCTCTGGGGAGCCGCGCCGCGAGCACAGCATGCTCTGGGCCATGCTGCATTCGCAGTTTTAGAAGTGTCTAGGACCGAGTACGGGCAAGGTGCCCGAGTAAAGGTGCTTTAGTAAAAAACCTGTTTTCCTGCAGCTCCTCCTGCTCAGTTCAAGTCGCTTGGCCTGTCTTGACGGGCCATAAAGCATCACAAAGACTTGCAAGCGGCAGAGTGCCAAAAATCTGCTCTTTCCAACAGCCGGAGGTTTTGAGCCAAAACAACCTTTGAGCCCTTGCAGCCAGCCTGCAAACAGCAGTAGCTTGCAGGGATAGATAAACAGGAGGATCCAAGTCGGGATTCGTGCTGACCCGTAAACGTGTGCTTGGCAAGAAGAAGTTTTTTTTTTGGGGTGTTTTGCAAGGAAAGCGGGCTACGGCAATGCGCTGACGGAGTAGCAACTTGTACCTATCGAGACGACTACGGTCCAGGCGCTGTACAGTCTTTGTTATTCGAGAGACCGTTGTATTCGAGAGAGAGGTTGCAAACACGAAGTTTGCGTACTGCAACACTGCAGCATACTGCCATAAGATTTGCAGTTGCAATTGCAATTCCTTGAGTCATACGAAAGCAGACAGGTGCTTACTGGTGTCCTCTCCTGGCTGGATCGGTTGCAGATCGGCTGCTCTGCCACTGCAAGTGGCCTAGCTGAACTTTAAGGGAGTCGCTCCTTTGGGGCTGTATGACTTGGCTTCCTAAGGCAATGCCCATGCCAACAAGGCATGGGTGGCTTTATGTGCAGCAGTTGCCTGGAAGACTCTGCATGCGGCACCGGGCGTTGCTCGAAGTCAAGAGCCCTAGACGCGGCACAGGACAGAGACCACATCAGTCCGGCACGAGCATTTGGTTGTGCGATCGCACTGCATGCTAATGTACATGTGATTGTAGTTCCATGCAGTTTATGCGGAGAATTCTATGTTCTTTCCGCATGCCTGGGTCTGCATGACTTGTGCCCCGTCAGGACAAGGCTTTCACCTGCAACTTTTCGGACTCTTTTAGGAAGTCTCCATCATACAAGCTGTTTTGGCCAGCTGGTTGGGCAAGCCCCCAAATTCTAATTCAGTATAGCAGTGGATCCAGAAGCGCAAGCCTGGACTTCATAAGCAGCATGTGCAGCGAGCATCAGCCTATCTTGATGCAGTGCAAGTGTGGAGAATGTGAGACAAGGTCTGACGAAGTCAGCCCTTCCGGAATGAGGATATTTGGTCAATGCGCGCCACTGACCAGCCCTTGTGTGAAGTGCGCAGAATGCCGGTGCGACTTCCCAGAAGAATCCTATCTGGCAGACACAACAAGGGCAGTAATTAGCAAAATTGGCGCCGGTCTGGTCTTCAGCTGCCAAGACGGACCAGAGCCGACGGGCAGTTGCCAAAGCATATTTGAAGACCTGCCCATGAAAATGGAACTAGAATGCTCAACAGGAGTGTGCATCCCTAATTAGTGCCCATAAGTGCACGCAGTTGCGTGGACGGCTCAGGCACAGTCTGGAGGGAACGGAGGGTGCTTGCTGTCGACGGTTCCCAAAACAAGATCACTTTGTTTTGGTGCCATTACCATCCTACGTCTCTCACTGAGTTCTGACCATCCCGGAAGGGACTTGAGTCTTGTTGCCCTGGTGGGACAGTGGATGAGCCTTAAGCCCGCTCTGTTGCAGTTGATTGTAGACATCAGTCGGAATAGTCTCCACCCGTGCATTCAGAAAATGGCTTAGCGTTGCTCGGTTCATCTTCTGTTTTTTTGAGAATCCTGCCCTCCCACAAGCAGCGGTACACAATCTTTGGAAAGCAGGAGACAGGACTGCACAGCCTGCTGGGCAGGCAAAGAACCACTGCTAGTGGGCAAGTCATGCAACTACTTTGCATCAAGATTTGCATCAAGACCACTCCAATTAGTGCTTGGAGAGACTGGCCGTGCAGAAACAACTGCGCTTAGAAGAGATGTAAAACCAATTCGTGTCCTCACCGCCTTTCTAGGATTCCAGTTCTGCACCTTTAGCAATCGCAGCTCACACGCCTCAGAAAAGTTCTCGTGATCAACACCCCATGGACTCTAAGGCTCTAAGAGCCAACTGATGAGGTTGGGGATTCCCGAAGAGCAGTCGATCGAGTTGCAACGCATTTGCTTTGCCCGGCCCAGGTTGCATTTGACGCGCGTCCTCATCTTCAGGGAGAACCTGTGAGAGCTGTTCAGCAGAGATCCTGAAAGCAAATAGGCTTGAGATGGCTTCAGCTTTCAGTCTCAGACGTCTCCTGCTGCCATGTCACTACACCGGGGCTCATGCTTCGAAGCATCGCCATGCCAACCTGCTATGCCTGCATGGCAGGGCTCAGAAAGTGTGTCAGCAGCTGTCAATCACATCCGGGCGCAGGAAAAAGACCAATTCGGGCACTGTGAAGTGGCAAGTTTACATAGGCTTTTAATTCTTAAAGGTGCTGCCATTGAGCACAGTTCTGCGCAGAAGATCGAGGCCAGAGTTAGGGTGAACCACCGAGGATCCACCTGGTTTCCACGGCGGCGTCTGTCGAGCTCGAGCGGGCGGGCATCCACAGTAACATCAGCGCGAAAGTTTTCCTATGCAAAGCTGTGGTTTAGATGCAAAGATTTTGGGCTTTAGTGATCTCGCAAGGAACTTGTATTGTAGGGTATCACGGTTCTGGGCGGTTTTTTGCAAAGCCTATCACCCATCTCTGCTACTTCTGGCCCAGTTGAATGAATAAGTGATAAGTAGAAGTCCGTTAGTTATTGGGATCATGTGGGAGTTTGCTTGAATTAGCAATAATTAGAACCCCTTTATACCCGATACCCATGTGTGGGTTCCTACCACAATACGAGTTTTCCTTCAATGCAGAGCTGTAGTTGCGGCGAACTGCCATGTCGTACGTGACACGGCGTAAGCCTTGTACTGTGGCAGCAAGCAGAAACCAGTGTTTGACTTGCACAGGCATAGCGGTTCAGTTCGTGGCTTTGTCTGCGCTGCACCGGAGAGAGACCAATCATTGTCAGCCCGCTGCAGCCATTTGCTTCGGGGATAGGCAGGGGCCGGTAGCAAGCGGCAGCGGTCGGCCAGCCGCATGCTTGCACCACGCAAATTTTGCTGCTAGTTCCAAACCTCTACCTACCATCCTGCCGTACCGCAAACCAAGGATGGGAAATCTTGCTGGCGCCTGCCGCACTTTGATGTGCAGCCTACAGGTTTTGGTGGCTCGTTTCTGCAAAGCTGAGTTTACCAAGACAGGTCGCATGAAGCGCAAAAGCAGCACTGAACACGTCATAGATGACTGGCAAAAAAGTATGCATGCTGCTTGTATTGGTAGATGGCATGAGCCAGAAATGCCTCGGCCACAGAAAGAAGGTCGGGATAGGCCGCATTAGCGCTTATCAGGTGTTGCAGGCATGCGCTTAATTGCTTTTGGCCCATGACGCTGATGTGGGCTGTATATAGCCTGCAATAGCTACTGGTATCTCAGGCTGGCGGCTCACGGAACCGCGCGCGAAACGAGTGCTACTTACAGACGGACCAACACCGCTTCCTTGATGCTGCCAAGGAGATGTTTGTGGCAACAGTCTTTTTTTTGAATAAAAACGCCCATAGTCCCCAACAGATATCAGACTGTGCCAGGCTTCATAAAACAAGCTTTGACATGAATTTACAAGATGTCTTTGCAACCAGGCCGGCAACTTCTCACAAGTGCGACGAATGCTCAGCGAGTCCCCTGAACTCATCAACTGCCAGCCTGGCGGCCGTTGGTCGGCACTGCACCACGCAGCCTACAAGGCGGCGCCCATGCTTGCAGCAACTAGCTCGTTGGCAATTCACGATTGAAGCTGCAATGACGTGCTTACACGGAGGATAATGTTGCCGCAGACTTTGAGTTCCAATGGACAACCTTCAAACCCAGCAAGAAAGTGGGCACGGTGTGAGCAAGCAATTCTTGCATCAGCCTTCCAAATCAGATCGAGCTTCTCACGCTGGTCATAGTTACGCACCCACCGATCCTATTCAGTGTAGCACAGACTATGCGTCTGGCTGACTGCAGTGGTCCAGTTCCTCCCTACTGCTTTCCCAGGTATGCTTTTCTTGTTCTTTTCCTTGGAATGGTCTTTCACTCTTGGAAGCAGATGCTGATACCGCTTTGAACTGGCCAGGTAGCGCTGTTTCATAGACCGGCAGGGTTGACTGCGAGACCACTGGTTGTACAGCTTGCCTTGGCCTGTGCTTTCCATTGCAAATGCAGGGCAACCTCTCAGCCGTGCAGTCCTTGCTTGAGAATCTGGGTTGCAGAGCGGAGAATAATGGAGCGGGGGAGTCGGCGTCCATGGACAGCCTAGGCTTGGCGCCTCCACGAGTTTGCGCACGAGGGATGGCTTTACACCTGCAGAGGTGGCAGCCTCGAATGTGTTCGACTACCTGCTGTACGTGTCTCTGCAGGCCTGGAATGTGCTTCCTTTTTCCTTCTGAGGGGAGCGTCACCACATCATGCAGCCCTGACGGCAGCCCAGAGCATGTCTTAATGAATTACAAGCTGTTACAGCTGACATTGCAGTGGGACCTCCCAAAGTGCAAGCCATCCCTTGTCAAAAGTTGCGCTGCCAGAGTGCTCTGACCAGTTCTGACCAGGCAGCAGCCGCTGCTGAGAATGTGAAATTGAAGACTTCCACGAGCGAATGGGGTGCATTTATGTGTCGCTACTAAGGGCAGCAGAATAGCTTTCCTTGCTTACATCATGAGTAGGCAGATGCACAGCCAAGTCTTGGCAGCTCCCAGGTGGTGTGGATGAGCAGATGCTCGATTCTTTGGTGCTGTGGAGATTCACACCAGACTCAATTCCAGAAGGCTGGGATCGTGGCAGGGGCAGAATTTATGAAGCGTAGCCGCGTAGCCTTCGCGATGAACGGCGCGCCCAGACCTTTGATGCATTGTGCAGTGTCAAAGCAGAACATGTGCTGCGCAATCCCCAATACTGCTTCCTGTGAAAGGTTCTGAATTACCCTACGGCCCCGAGCAAAAACGCTGCTGGCTGCTTAAGAAACATGAACTAGCGCTCATGATCTGTTCGGAGCGCATGCTTTCAAGCCTTCTTTCGAGCATGCGGATTTTTTCTCAAGATCACTTGGAGCATGAGCCGTGGGCAGGTCTTTGTGTGGGCGACGATGGCCTGCAATGTCACATTTGTCTCGATGACTTTGAACACGGTGAGGAGCTCCGGTCATTGCCCTGTCGTTGCATGCCGTACAGTTAGCATCTAGCTTTTTCTTTTCGGAGGCGGGCATTTGTCAGCCTCAAACATGGCACACATCCGGTAGCAAGACTACAGGTGGCAATTCTGCTAGGTCATTCCTTCCACGCTCGCTGCGTGGACGAATGGCTCCAACAGAAGAGTCGGTGCTGTGCCTCGTTTGAAAGCCGCTTTGTCTATGTCTGCAAGAGCCATTGCCAGAGTCTCCTCCAAGACTCCTAGGTCCAATCTGCCGACGGGACTGTGCCTCAAGCGCTGCAGACCAGAGTCGGTGAGGCTCTTGGGGGGTGACACCGGGCCAAGTAGAGCAATAGCAGAGCACATAGTGAGTACAGATACAGCCTGCTCAGGGGAAACAGATGTCCCTGACATGAAAGGACCAATCTGCCGATTTGAGATTTGAGCTGACACTGATCACTGGCCCTTGCCACGTGTTAGCGGCAGCCAGGAGCTTTCCCATTTGAACTGGAGTGAAACGTTCCAATTGATTTTAAGCGTTCCGCCACGGCAATCAGAGTCCTTCTAGTGATAAAAGCATTGTTCGCAGACTTTTTTGGGAAGTGACACGTGGAGATGATGCCTCTGGCTGATTGCATGTGCCTGTCTTCCGGTAGTAGGTAGAGATGAGATAAGCTCCTGCGTATCAGAGCTAAAAAAGCTGTGGATATTCAGCAGCTTGGCCACAAATGTGTGGCATGACCTCCTGACAGCCCTTTGTCGGGCTTTCAGGTGAGATGCTTGAGATGTTCAGAGGTGGGCAAAGTGCACACTGCAGGTATGTGGCAGCTGGACATTAGATGGATTTGTCAATCAACATGTACGCTTGTCATGCCACTACCAGCCAAGACAGCGACTGCTGCTTGCAATTTTGCACGCCACTTTCTATTGCAGCTGCGTTACTTACATTGGCACGTTAAGCCTGCCTCATAGATGCTTCCGCACAGCTAAAGTGCCTCTTGCATGGATGAAGTTCCCCGCTGTTCCTGCTCCGCTCAGCCTGGCAGATGCTGGCCATGGCACTATGGTACTCACAGAGAGCCCAGAAGCAGTTCCTCGCTTCCTCGATGCTAAGCTTGGGAACCTCACATGCATATCTTAAAATGTAATGCAGCTTGGTTACCGCGCATGGGCTTCAAATGCTTTCCAGCAAGCAGGTTTTTTATTCTAGCATTTTGAATCTCCGTAATGTGTTTGTCCGGACTCTGGACTTTTTGCCTGGTGCGGATGAGCAACGGTGCAGTTCACGCCACTCCTGGAGTGTTGGATCAGGTATGCAGCCGCTGAAGCCAAGAAGTATAATAGCAGAGGAAAAAGCATGGCATGGAGCCTTGACGTGCCAGAGGGCTGCTGCAAGAAGTAGCTGGCCCGCCCTCTGAAACTGCACGTTCTCATCAGCCACCAGGCAAGCTTTGCGCACAGATTGTTCATAGCAAACGTGCGCTTGACCAACCGCGCGTAAGGCCGGAGAGGGTCGAGCTTCAGTTCAAAGAGGGGGGAGGCAATGCATGCTCAGAGATCCTTCCTCTTGGCCCAGCAAGCTGAAGCCAGCCATGGCAGCGGCAAAGCAAGCTATGCAGATCCATGGGCCGAGGAACTTTGAGGACGGTTTTCGGCCCTGTACAGACCACTAAGCGAGGAAAAGATGGCGACAGCATTCTGGCAAATTCCGAATTTGACGTGGTTTCTCTGCATTTCTAGCTACCATGGCCATGGGCTGCGCAAGTTTCACTTTAAAGGGCTCGGCTCGCGCAGGGCCTGTCATACTGTGGATGGAGGAAATC